AAGTTTTAGAACTGACTTTTTCATAAGGAAAAAAGATAAGGATAGCTAATATTTATCCAGAATTTACTATGTGCCAGGCTCTGTCCTAAGAGTTTTATGTGAATTAACTTATATAGATCTATTACATAACCATATACAACACTAAACCTGAAGAAATGACATTAAAATTACTATTCTTTTCTGAGAGGTGGGAAGATGCAAGGTCTTAAAAGGTTTTAACTATCTCCTTGCAGTGTAACTGAGAGAAGGTTCCATTTAGAAAGTAAGAACCAGACTAAATAAATTTTTCAACATGAATCCATATCTTAGTACACAACATCTAATACATTAAAGTCACTGAAATGGAGATAGTGAACTATTAGATCCAAGGACAGCTGAGATACCCCTGGGGCCTATGTTGGCCATGGACCAGATGCCTAGAGCTCTGATTAACTGGTGTAAAATGGGGCATATTGCAACCACACTCATTTTCAATGACTTCGTGGTCTAAGCATCTGTTTTGAAATATCTAACTTTCTAAAACCATAAGTTCACATTCTAACAAAGAAGGAGAGATTTTTAAGGAGCTGCCAAGCACATATGGAGAATCCTGAGTGACTTAATGTCTCTGGGAACAGGCAGAAGACTTCTACCTTTTCCTATGGGAATTCACACAAGTCACTTTGTTTCCAATCTTTAGTTTTCTTCCCTTTCTTTGAAAACTGTAATACAGAAGACATAAATCATACTATCTTCACAATAAATAATTAATGCAAGGGAGGGACCTGACAAAGTGCAGACAGAGTTTCTTCACTGTCAAAATGTATTCATCTATCCCCCCACCCACCCACCTACCTACCTTGCAAACATTTTTCAAATGCCTACTCAGTCTCAGGCACCGCTAGGAAACAGGAACAAATCCTGCCTTCAGCAATTTTACAGTCAGGTGGGAGGTGAGGTGAGGTAGGCAAATAAACAGCTTCAAGAGAAAGAGAGGCCCAAGAGAAGTAAAAAAATCTAACAGATGAAAGAATTAGGAGAAAGTCAGAAAAAGTTTTCAAGTAGAGATAACTAAACCTGAGTGTAGGGAGGAACGGAATTCCAGCTAGAGGGAACACACATGCAAAGGAGCAGAGGAACGTGAAGCCTGCAGGCTCCACTCACCACATTTAGATCTGCGTAGCAGAGGTTCTTCCTGGAGAGCTAGAGGGATGAGACTGTGGAGGTGTACAGGGGCTCGACTAAGAAGGCCATGTGAATTCTCTGGACTCAATGCACAAGATGGGAAGCCAAGGTCTGCGGTTAGGACAAGGAGTGACATGGCCAGAAGTGCCCTTTATTTTATTTATTTATGTTTTTTTGTGAGGGAGATCAGCCCTGAGCTAACATCTGCCAATCCTCCTCTTTTTGCTGAGGAAGACTGGCCCTGGGCTAACATCTGTGCCCATCTTCCTCCACTTTATATGGGACGCCGCCACAGCATGGCCTGACAAGCAGTGCGTTGGTGCGCGCCCGGGATCCGAACCGGCGAACCCCGGGCCGCCGCAGCGGAGCACATGCACTTAACTGCTTGCGCCACCGGGTCGGCCCCTAGAAGTGCCCTTTAGAGAGCTCAGCCTGGAAGCCAACTGGAAGGCGGACTGGAGGGACAAGTGCAACACTCCAGGTAGATGATGAAAGCCTGGGCGAGGAGCAGCAGCCCCCGGGGGGGTGGCGGGGAGCAGAGGGGGTTTCAGCAGCTAGTTACACCCTGGCCAGACGTCTGGGCTTAAAGACATAAACAGTGAGCCACCAGTATATGGGATATCCTCCCAGCTAGTGACTGTCTGCTCAGCCACAAAATGGAGCAGTTAGGCCAAGCAAGGGGAGAGCTCAGGTCCCTCCCCACTGGCACTCCTTAGAGGAGCAGCAGTCTGCGATAAGCCTCATTGTACCATCTAGCGACATTAGCAGACTAGAGAAGGAGCAAGCTGCTTTTCACTCAGCTAATAAAGGGCAAGGGCCACAAGAGATGGTCCATGCTGAAGAAAAAAGAGCTGTGAGAAAGTTACAGCCAGGACATGGGGACGTCCTCTCTGCTCAGCCACTCCAGCAGAGAAAAGGGGAGTCAGGGACAGCCAAAGGAGGCCCTCTTGATTCTGATGCTTGAAAACTGTCCCTGGAATTTACTCTAAAAAAACGGAAGCTGTGGAAAGCTGGGAGAGCAGTAAGGTTCTTTTTTTGGGGTGGGGTAATGTTTTTATTTAAGTTTAACATACTTTTTTTGTGTGTGAGGAAGATTAGCCCTGAGCTAACATCCGTGCCAATCCTCCTCTTTTTGCTGAGGAAGATTGGCCCTGGGCTAACATCCATGCCCATCTTCCTCTACTTTATATGGGACGCCGCCACAGCATGGCTTGACAAGTGGTGCGTCAGTCCATGACTGGGATCCGAATCTGCGAATCCTGGGCCACCGAAGTGGAGCGCACAAACTTAACCGCTGCGCCACCGGGCCAGCTCTAACATACATTTTTAAAGAGCACAAACCATAAGATTGAAGAATGTTCACAAAGAACACACTCTAGATGCTATTTAG